AACCGGTTTTGCGCAATTTTCTTTCATAGCGCATTACTCGGGCCAATTGTGGCCTGATAGCTTTTGTATTTCGGAGAAGTTTTTCTAATATCGTCGGTTTAACTTTGGCGTCGCAGCTGTTGGATGCTCTCTCTGGATTTCATGTTATGTTTGGCTTACTTTCGATTGACTTTTGATTATTATAATAAAAAACATAGTATTATCGAGTAATTAAAATAATCTAAACTACATTAAAGACTAACAGTATACTAGGTATGAGCGTTAGGATATTTAGTAAGCTACCAAAGAAATCAAGAGACCTAGACGATTTTAATTTTAAGAAAAAACTAAAAGATAACCTAATTATTATCACATAAATGATTTTCTTAGGGACGACATTGAAAATAAATGGATTTCTTAATTATTGGTTGAATTATGGATGAATGAATGTAAATTATATAATATTATAACTTACACTGCACTAAAATTAGCATGTCAAATAATGACAAAGCATACACGCTGCTTTTAACTTATGTAATAACTCATTTTCACTATGCTTAGCGAATAAATGATTTCTTTTTTCTTTCTTTCTTTCTTAAAATAGCCACAAAAGTATTAAGTCGTCACACGAGTGTAAGCGTATACTAAATCGATTAAGTTATAAATCTGAGAAGAGTACATCTTACGAGTTCTCTTTATTGTCTTCTGCCTGTGAGCAATGATTTTTTATACAACAGATATGTTATCTTCATAGTAACTGATTCTTCAAATCTGATCGCGCCATATATATCTACATACCTACCGATATAGTGCACACACATGTTGACAAGTAGCATTAATGAAAATTACAAAAGATGGGATAAGCGCGTGAGTAAAAAAGATAGCTATAATTAGAACGATTGCACTTGTTATATTATTATTGCATTTGTTTAGACGCGACTTAAGACGAAACGTCCCAATTGGCCTGTTTTCGAGTCTTCACTTGACATGCGCTTGAAACATATCTGCTTCTTTTTACATATAAAATATCATTGCCTGTGAGGCTTAAAACTAAAAAAATCTTTTATCAACGTTGTTTACATTTCTGATGTAGCAAGCTTTGATATTTCTCGTCGCGCTGTCTATGGTTAGCTGGAAAAACATCACTAATGAGGTAAAGCCGTCCTTTACTGTCTACTCATTTAATGCAATGGTTGGACGACCCAAAAAGGATCTTACTCTGCGACACAAGAATTTAATTCGTCTTTGATGACAAAAAATCTCGTAACAGCCCGAGTTTATGACTGACATATGCACGCAAAAAAAATGTTATTAAAAATAAGTAAACTAAACTCTTGTATATATTTTCTGTAGAATGCAAATATATATATAAAAAAAATATAGTATGTCTCAACAACGTTTATTGCGTATCATTAGAGAAATTTATGTCAAACCACGTGGTCATCTTTCCTTTAACATTACGTCCACAAAGATTTAATACAGAAAACTATGTCACATAATACACGGGCCAATATGAACAAAACGAGGATAAAAATAATACTAAGAACAAAAGTCGGGACACGTGCCGCGGAGACGAGCCCCATACGTGATCAGAACACGAAAACAATCCCGAAAATGAACTTTGAACCTTAATTCTTTAGGCACAAGGACCGCGAAGCGTTGTTTTTGTCTAGTTTTACGCTGCGGAAAATAATAACAGAACGATAGGTAAGGTGGATGTGGGCTTGTATCGATATATCAGTCCTGAGTCATGAGAGAATCGTTTTCCTGTTTTCTTTGTCGTTACTAAATCTGTCCCTTCAATGGGTCTCCGTAGTCTATGTATAAACAGTGTGCAAAGCGCTGGGCTGGTTCGAGGGAAAACTGATATATTTGATGCTCACCTTTAGAGTGCTTGTGGATAGACAAATAGATTGCGGGGAAAACCTTTATATTTGGCCGGAAAAGTGCGAACGTTTTTTGTTCGTTTTTTTTTTTTAATGGCTTGGATGTCACGAGCTCACAGCCCACCTGATGTTAAGTGCTAGTGTAGCCCATAGACATCGACAATGTAAATGCGTCACCCACTTTGAGATATAAGTTCTAAGGTCTGACAAGTATAGTTACAACGGCTACCCCACCTAAAACCTAAATTCAATAACAAAATATACCTTCATTAGCACATCGTATGCATACCTTCTTGTGACGGTACGTTTGTATCTACATTCCAAGTTTTTATTTAATCTAACCTCAAACTAAAACAGGTACATCAGAAATTTAAATGGTGTTCAGCGAATTTTGGGTTTAGATGATTCCTGTATCTTAAACATAAGTGGCAGCTGTGTAAAATAAAAAAAGATATTGCAACTATTATAAATAACCAATATAGATGTTTCCTATTACGAATCCAACATCCAATCGAATTAAATTGCTGTAAACGAAGTAATTTGTAATATTTTCGTTCGATAACTTAAATAACGAGGGTACTCGCAGAAATTTACGACTACCCTCTGAAAATATGTCGCGATCCCCGTCTAATGTAAAAACGCTAAAATCTTTTTAGAAACACGATAAGCGTTATGGGCTAACCGGCTGCCACTTTAACAAATTATTGGAAGATTTCCAGGGTAAAAAAGTTGTCACCCCAGAGAAGAGGGTAAACGCCTTATTTGATAGCTTGATTCTGTCGAGGCGTATTCGGAATGTTAAATTACTGGCGAAATGAAAGATAATAGGGGGCTCCTTAACGGGAAAACTTGGCGTTGGGGGTAAAAAAACTGGTCTCCCGAAAGATTTTGAAATTTCCAACCCCTAGAGAGGAGGCTGTAACGTATTATTTATTCATGGGTTTTCGTTGGGCTTCTGTATTCGTTTCTATTTCGACGTTGCTGTTATTACGACTTGAACGATTAACGAAGGGCTGCTTAGGGCGACGCGAAATGGTTTCTGTTAAATTCCTTATGCCTCTGCGAACGGTACGAGCCTAAGATATTAAATGGAACGGAATTATTTGGGTGCATTTCATGTGCTTTTATTGAATTTATTCGATTTAATCAAGAATACTTTTTCTTGTTTGTGACACTCAGATACTATAGTCATATTTTAATTCGGCCGGTTTATTTTTTTATTGCGTTTCGTTTTGAATTGAAATAATAGCGGTCGGAATATTCTCAATAATTTATCACTATATTGCTGTATGAGACTTGCTTTAAGAAATTTATTAACATTAAAGCGCATATGCATAACCACAATCGTCTCTGACTACGAAAGCGAAAAGTATTATGCGAAAAATCGTAAATAATATTATATATTATTGAGGAGTTTCCTAAAATGTCGGACATACATAATAGAAATACTAGGAACAAACACAAGCTTGTTGCGCCGAGGAGTAGGTTACATAAGATACGAAATTCATTCGGGTGTTTGTCTGAGCGAATGTACAACAAAATCCCACAAGATGTTCAGAACCTACATATACATAGGTTTAACAAAACTATTAAAGAACATCTGTACAATAAAGCTTACTATAAAGTCAATGATTATCTAGAAGATTGCACAAAGTGGGAATGATTTGCTCGCTCCGGGCATTTCAATATTGTAATAATTGTTATGTTATTATACTCATGTAAAAATGAATATTTAAAAAAAATCTAATATAAAAAAAAATCTAATATTTAAAAAAAAAAGACATGCCCGCTGAGTTTCTTGCCAATCCTTCTCAGGACGGAGGCTAGTTCTTGTGAATTGGCGGTAGTTCTTTTTGACGTTCAACAAGTATGTACTTTCATTTATGTTGAATAAAAATGTTTGATTTGATTTGTTTTGATATAACAATAAAAAAACGGATTTACATTAATCGCCATTTTAGTTTAGTCTTCACATCGGTAAAAGCCCCATTTATGTTTAATTTAAAATTATAACTGCTTCGTATACATTGCGGAAATGATAAAATAAATAAAGTATGACATAAAGTACTTTTACATAACATTGAAGTATTCGTTTGAAGTATATCAGAGATTCATTCGTTGCCTATTCGTAACATCGCGTTTCCGATCTGGTGGTAGCTTCTGCGAAGCACGGCCCTTGCTAGGGTTCGTGTTAGCAACGTCGTCAGTTTAGGCCCGTGAGCTCACTTACTAGCTCGACGAATCTAGAATAGCCCCTTGAGGTTACTAGAATAGGTATGGAAAAAAAAAATCGTTACATATTGTAAGACTAGTTCCAAAGCCAGTAAATAAATACACACATTGCAATAGTTCACTTAATATTGCTTTATTTGTAACTCCACTTGTACTGAATACACTGCTTTCTGTCTCGTTTTTTCAGACTACCGCCTTTTTTGTTATGTCACGTCCCCACTGCTGCCATTGCTCCCACCAACAGCGTTGCTATTTGGCAATCAGATAATTGCCTAACTTTCAACATGATACATTTTATTTATTTAGAAGTCGTCGTGGCCTAACGGATAAGACGTCCGGTGCATTCGTGTTGAGCGATGCACCGGTGTTCGAATCCCGCAGGCGGGTACCAATTTTTCTAATGAAATACGTACTCAACAAATGTTCACGATTGATTTCCACGGTGAAGGAATAACATCGTGTAATCAAAATGAAACCCGCAAAATTATAATTTGCGTAATTACTGGTGGTAGGACCTCTTGTGAGTCCGCACGGGTAGGTACCACCACCCTGCCTATTTCTGCCGTGAAGCAGTAATGCGTTTCGGTTTGAAGGGTGGGGCAGCCGTTGTAACTATAATTGAGACCTTAGAACTAATATCTCAAGGTGGGTGGCGCATTTACGTTGTAGATGTCTATGGGCTCCAGTAACCACTTAACACCAGGTGGGCTGTGAGCTCGTCCACTCATCTAAGCAATAAAAAAAAAATAAAAAAATATTATTTTACAACAAACCTTACAATATAACGAATACGGTGCGCTGAACTAAACATGTGCCACGTTTTGTTCGTAACTGATGCTTGATAGGACGGGAGTGGAAATGTGCGAGAAGATTAATAAAACACGCCAATAAGAAATCGAACAGTTTATTGTAAACTAATACGAACGCATAGTAGAATAAAATTTAGGATATACATATATTCAATATTAATAGTACTATAACAAAAACATTGACGTAACAAGCGATATTACGTCAATTCACTACTTTTACAACGTTCCCCGTAAAGCTATGGCCCTTGCAAGTGTCTTTTTACAAGTGTTCGTAACAAATCAACATTAAATATTACATAAAGGAACTTCACTACTACGCATGCAGTAAAAATAAGAGTTACGAAAATCATTTTAGCATTTATTTTTACACTACAATGATAACGTTGATTCTTACAATGAAAATCATTCAATGATCGAATTATGATGTTACGAATACATTTTTATTATTGACAAATAGCTATCGTGTTTGTTGCTCATTTTGATAGAAAAGACAGCTTTGCAGACAGATTGGAAAGATATTATTAAGGATATACTTAAGAACTTCAAGTATTCATTTCGCGAATAAACGAAAGGGAAGACGGAGGAAGACTATGAGATGTAAAAAAAACTTATAAACAGTTAAGAATCGAGTGTAAAAATTGAATTCAAACTGAGATTATCAAAAGAGAGTATATAAAAGTACAAAATGAGCCGGAACTCGGAGAGCAACGAGTTTAAAATCCGTTGCATCTATATTTACAATGAACGAAGCCATTAAAATTCCTCGTTGTAGCACAGAAGCAGATATTGTTATAGAAAAATACAGTGGTAACCTCATGAGTACAGCGCCAAGCTATCCACATTAAACACGAGTACAAAAGCAGTCTCCAGATTAAATTCGGTAATGTAGCTTAATGATACGTAATGACTAATTCAGATTATTGATATTATGTAAATAGGGAATTAAAAATCGCTGATTTCTGGATCGGTGTCAGCGTATTTGCACGTGAACGGATTCCTTAGCCACGAGCAGAATGAACGATCGTTGTGCTGTTTGTATTTCGCTGTGGTGTGTTTTTTAGCGTGCGCCCGTGCGACTGCGGCTCGTCTAGTCGGGTATGAGTCTAAGGATGACGCGTCTGAGTCTCTTGGAACAGAGTCGTAACCGGATTCGGCTCGTCTCGAGGTGGCGGCCGGACTGTGTTTTCCGGTTCTTGGAGTTGATTCATGCCCGCTATCGTATCCGTCCGGTTTCGATCCGGCAACTATCCTGGCTACGCATTTATCGCCCTTTTCATGTTTCTCGGATCGAGGTTCGGTTGTCACAACTGGAGGGGACACCTCCAAATGCAAATTAGATTTTAGTTCTTTAAAAGTACACGCCCCGTTTCCGGGTATTCGTTTTTCTTCTCGCAAGTTAGGGTCGGATGCACCGTCTGGGTGTCTTAGAGATGCGATTCTTGCATCAGTTATGTCGTTGCCTCTGTACCTTTCGAATGGCCCGTAGCAGTCGTTGTGAGATCCATCTGGTTCGTGATAAGCTCCACCTACAGCACTCCCTGGCCTGGACATGGTTCGTTTGCAACTATCACAAATCTTATCACTAGGACGATATGCTGGTTCACTATATACAGAACCATCGCCGTGATAATCATCAGTATCACGTACATTACACAGTGATATGGATTGGAATTGAGGTGCGATTCTAGTATTTATCATTTCATCGTGTTCTATCATTCGTCGGGATTCGTAAATATCGTTTATGTAGTCGTCTATTCTAGATCGCGAGGAATGTAAGCTTTCATGTGGATTCAGATCGCCGAGGTGCTGATCGCTTGTAAAGTTTTCAGTATAAAATTCCATGGTTTGCCTTAAATATGCTTCTTTTCTGATCTGTCTTTCTACTTCGCTGTATAAGGAAAAAGTGTCCGTAAATGTTGAAGCAACTGTTAGATTCTCTTGACTGAGTATCCTGAGAGGGTGATCCTCATCGTCTGGGTCGCCGGGTAAAGTGTTATCAAATCCCATACACAAAGCGATATCTTCCTCAGTGACTTGGAGGCAGCAGTCCTGCATCGGAACCGGCTCCAGAGGCTCTTCTACTTCTATGATCTCTAAAAATTCATCTTCATCATCATCTTCATGGCCTCTACTCATGCCGTGAATCTCAATTTCTCTACTGTGATTAGACAACATTTCGTCGTCCATTCTTAATCTTTCCTTGTATTTACTATTTAAGCTCTCCATGGACACTTCTCGACTATTCAGACTGCTGGGCTGAATCAATGGCAAAGCTGGGGGTATTTCTGCTAATTCTTCACTATCATCGTCTTCGTCAACATCATTTCTTCCTGTTTTGGAACTATTGCTGTTAGATTTTTTCACTACTACATTTTGTTCCGATGATACTAAATTTTCTTCTTCAATCATATTTCCTTTTGATCCAGCCTTCAAGCCGGTTCTAATCGTAGATTCTTCGACATGAGCTCGTCTGACACTTTCTTTTATTTCCATTCTGTTAGTTTCAGATTCATCTCCGGTCTTAATGCTATCTTTATGATTCTTGTGACTTGGCGAGCTATTTCTGGACTTGTGGATTTGTGATGTTTGATTTTCGACCCATTTTCGAATCATATTTTTTTTGTGGCTATCCATATATCCATAACCCATGTTTTCACTGCCGTGAACTCCTAGCACTCCAACTTGAAGGGGTATCGTATTGGGTTGAATTGCTAAGGGGTCAAATGGTGGCGGGAGTTTGGGTTCTTGCATCGGTCCATCAATCCAAGTTTCACGTTTCTTATTTTGGGTCTCCTTGATAATATGTCTCGCCTCAACCAATTTCGATTTCGATATCCTTGGCCCGTCTATCCACTGTTCATCGCTAGTACTTTTAGTGTCTTCTACGTATTGTTTTGGAGCAGCTTTTTTTAAAGGAGTCGATTTTGAAGCAACTGAATGAACGGGAGATGGTTTCGGTGTATGACCGGGCTGTATAGTTTTCAAAGGAGATGCTTTAGGAGACGAGTGTAATTTATGAATGGGACTTTTCTCTTCAACCACCTTCGATAATGAAGACTTATGCTTTTGCTCTGCTGCAGAGCCTCTTAAAGCTTTGCTAAGGATACATCTGTTGTCTCCAGAGTTAATATGAGGAATATAAACAGGAGGATGTTCACCATCGGTAGCATCGTCCATAGGACCCACGTATATTACTGTGTCAGCTGATAAATCACTACTCGATGGATCAGGTTCGCTGCTGCTCGGTTTTGAAGCGTCTTCGCCTGAACTTCCACCAGAACCAGCATTGTTATTCGAAGAGTATTTGAGCTTTCTACGCCTTAATCTGTGTATTCTTGAAGCTAATTGTAGAGTAGTTAATGTATCGGAGTAGTTTTGGACGTTAGGAGACACGTGGACTATCATGGCAGTGTGACATGTCAGAGAACCTAAACATTCTTTTAGTACGTGAGTTAGATTGTGGTCCCGATAAGGGAGATGTCGTTGACCGTTAAAAATAGCAAGCAGAATGTTTCCTAATCCCGAAAGGGGAATGCCGCCATTCGTTTTTCCACGTTCAGAGTTTCCAAGGTCAATGAGGTGAAGACGGCTTCGACCCCCAGCCACTGTGAAAGAAATTATTTGTTAGAAGAAAGTATTATGTGATTGTTTTCGATATATGTGTAAATAGTCTCAAGAAGCTCGTACACTACGTGTAAAAGTAATTTTTCTAAGTTCTCTTATTAGAAGTGTATTTTGTATTTGTATTACTAAGGACTTAGCTTGTATTTTTACATGAACTGGTTGCATGTATGGTGTTAAATTCATAATAACCTGCTCCTTTCCCTCCAACGCTGTATTGGTAAACGTGTAGAGTGTACAGCAAATGGCTATCTTTTCCCTCTTCTTTAATCCCCCTTGTAGCTAGAGCCGCATCCAGATAAAATGCAGCCTTTTCTGCGCTGTGAACTCGAAGCTCTGACTGGTTCTGGAGGTGGGTACCGAAAAGAGGATCGTCTCGAAGGTAGACTCCTGGAGATTGCTCCGTATCTAAACCGAAAAACAAAAAACTTATATGTGATGTTCCTAAATTAAAACAAATACTACGATAAAAGCAAATAAAGCTATTCGAAAGTAGGTTGAGGTTTTATTACAAAAATATTATTGATGACCAAAGCTTTCCTTCATTGTGTCAAATAGGGGAATAGTAATTTCCTTGACTATTGCTACAATTACTAAGAATGTAGGAACTCTTAGATAAACTAGATATTTCTTGTGATACCATTGAATTTAATTGTAATGAAAAACTAAGAAGCTTAATGATATTAAAAGTTTGTTACTTATATTGAATGAGTAGTGAAATAACCAGTACCATTTTGATATGGCGCCAACAGATCTCGTATTTGATTTGTATTTGTGCAGAGTTCCACGCACGAAACTCGCACGGAAAATCTTGTGCCGCACTTGTGCCTCTGCTCTGCGATGCCTCGGAACAGCCATGTGATCGCGCACGGTATCGCGCCGAGATTCGGTGTCGAGTCCGGCCGACCCAGCATCGTGTAGGATTTACCTGGGAATTAAAAGGTTAAGTTAAATTTAATGTTAAGTGTTTTGGTGGTAGGACCTTTTGTGAGTCCGCACGAGTAGGTGCCACCTCCCTGCCTATTTCAGCCGTGAAGCAGTAATGTGTTTCGGTGTGAAGGGTGGGGCAGCCGTTGTAAGTATACTGAGACCTTAGGACTTATCTCAAGGTGGGTGGCGCATTTACGTTGTAGATGTCTATGGGCTCCAATAACCACGTAGCACGTAGTAGTTCTAAGGTCTCAAGTATAGTTACAACGGCTGCCCCGCCCTTCAAACCGAAACGCATTACTGCTTCACGGCAGAAATAGGCGGGGTGGTGGCACCTACCCGTGCGGACTCACAAGAGGTCCTACCACCAGATAAGTTGGAATATGGCTATGTGGAATCATCATGCGTAAGTCGGTGGTTAAAGAAGTGGCCAGAAAAAATCGATTAGGATTCCCTTTGCCTGGATTATGATGATGCTGCGAGTAATAACTAGATGACTAGATTAAGGTTGCAAAACCAGTTAGATGCAGATTGGACCTGTCATTCAGGATACTAGTATGAATAAGGTAATCATATTTATCTATCACTAGCTGACCCGGCAGATTTCGTAGTGCCTTAATCAATAAATAAAAGACCTAAGTTTTTGTATAAAATAAACTTAAAACAAACAAAAGGAATCCGTCCGACGGGGGACACATCAAAAGAAAAACATAATTGTTATTTTTATTTAATTAATAGCATTTTCATATTTATCTTACCTTTTAAACCTTCTCTAGACTTCCACAAATAATTTAAGACCAAAATTAGCCAAATTGGTCCAGCCGTTCTCGAGTTTTAGCGAGACTAACGAACAGCAATTAATTTTTATATATATATAGATAGAAGATAGATTCATAGCCGGATCACTTTTCAATTTAAATCAATTCAAATAAATATACTTTATAAATAAAAAAAATTATCACTTTGTATCATATAAGACTGTATTTATCAAATTAGCAAGATATCTCATCGAATATCGAAAGCTATTTCCGGGGGGAAACGAGTTTGTTCAAGATAGAAAATCAATTAGCAACTGTCCCGGTATTAAGCGGAATTATATCTTGATAGGAGATAAGGCGAGCTGAATTATTTAGCTCGCAGACTAATACGTTATAGCGGTTCTCTTTTGATTCTTTGTTCAGGTGAAGAAGTTTTGAGACTGGATATAAAATCGAGGACATGGTCATGATGAACATGGAATTTTTATTTTATTTTTTTGATGGGATTAAGTTAATCAAGACTAAATCACATATATCACCAATGTCATTAGCAAGGGAAAACTGAAGATTTGTTAGTGCCGTATTTCAAATCCTAATTAGCTTTAAGTAATTATTGAGCGTATGGTCAGTCAGCCGCTGACTACAGCTGAGAAGCTCAAATGCATTCCTAAAATCCTCTTCAAAAAAGAACAGGTGGTATATGTAGTACATGAGCAATAGTGCTCGGAAAATACTCTGGTGGTTCATTTTGAAACCGAGCAGCACGTGGCAAAGCAGATATCTTGAAACGTATAGCATATGAATTCTGCTTCAGTGATGTTCAATATGATGATAAAATAATGAGCTTGTCTCGAGTACTCATACCCCTACCCTAAGCCTCAGCCCGTTTAGTTTCTTGCCGGATCTTCTCAGCGGGTCGCGGTTTCGATCCGGTAGTAGATTCATTCGCAAAGCAGATGCTCTTGATTTGTTAGGTCTCCCTTGGAGGCGCTCGGGTAGCTGTTAGTAAATCCCACCACTCCTGGCTAAGCCCTTGCTCGTCCACCTTTTCTTGTGAAACTGGAAAGGCCTCCGGGCCACCAGTAATTCCTCAATCATAAAAAAAAACACTCATACTCCTCGGAGTCTAGTCAAATGAAAAATAGAAAAAAGCTACCATCTACCTACCGGATGCAGTGAGAAGTTTTCCAACTTTAAATTGCTTTAAAATAATGGTGAAGGAACACTACTTATCTGCTTAGTGTTGTTTGTTTGTATCATTATCATTTATCATTTTCATACTGTTGATTTATTATGTGTATGTAAATATGTATATTGGTATATAAATCAATTAGTTATATATTTCATATTATATGTAAACGGTATAATATATCTGTTTATTGTATGTATATATTTTCTATAATAATAATGTATTGTCTATAGTACACCGAAATATATCTGCTATATTTTTATATTTTACAGAATTTCTGTAAACTAAACAGTTTTCTGGAATAGATCCTAGGCCTATTGTACAAATGTATCAGCTTTTTGGCTGTTTTTTTTAATATCAATTGTGTTTTGGTGCCAAAAAAGTGTATTCTCTCTCTCTCTACCGTCCCCTCATTATTATTCCTCAAAACAATTTAAAACACGCTTTCGAATTCAATATGGACAAAAACGTCAACGTTCGTGGCTTGATCCATATAAGCCGGTTCTCAACCCCAAGACCTTACTGATCCCGACGTTATTGAGGTAGAATAATTTTAACCTCGTTTTAATTATTCCGAGATCAACGCTAATACAGACTTGATCTTAATTAAATTACGTTCAACGAGATAATAAAGGATCAGGAAGTAGACTGCAAGGTGATTACTTTTGAAACGTTCGTTATTTAGTAGGTACACTATACTGTTCCAAAATAACAAAAACAATAGACACGTTCATTAGCAAGATAATATTCTATCTTCGTAGAGTTTTAAATAATTAGAAATTGTAATAAAAATTAATAGCCCAATTTGCTTGATTGCTCAAATGTCTGTAACATTAATAATATTAGCATAAACCCCAAGATCTCTCAACTCAAGCTCGTGACTCTACTCATGATTAAAGGCGTCACCTATGAATGAGAAATCTTAGATATTTGTAATGCAAGTCTTTGAGCCTAATCTAGACTTAACACAGCTCAAAAGTTTTATTTTAAGCTGTTAAGGTTTTGTAAATTTTATCGTTCTTATTAAGTTCTACTTTAAACATAATCTCTATATATAAAAATGAATTGCTGTTCGTTAGTCTCGCTAAAACTCGAGAACGGCTGGACCGATTTGGCTAATTTTGGTCTTGAATTATTTGTGGGAGTCCAGAGAAGGTTCCTTTTGTTTGTCTTAAGTTTATTTTATACAAAAGCTTAGGTCTTTTATTTATCGATTGAGGCACTACGAAGTCTGCCGGGTCAGCTAGTTTATAAAATAAAAATTATTATATTTATTACAAGCAATCTTGTATTTTGAGGATCATAGACACATAAATACATGGGAACATAAATAAAATTGAAAAAAAAAGCGCAGGTATGTTAATTTGAAGAAAAAAAAAACCGTAGAGAATTGTTAGTTTAATTGAATTTAAAAAATATATACCGAGTTCTAAAGCATTAGTTACGTCTGTGGATTTGCATAAGTAATGCTTTAAGTACACTAATGGGTAAAGTTAGAAACGAAAGACCGAGAGCTCGGAACGTGAGAATCTGAAAATTTTATCAAACTTCCTATTGAGTTCATAGTTATAATCGTTTGAATGAAGTGTAGGGTTGTCAAACAAATAACGAAAATATAGTGTAAGTTACGGTTTCCCTTGAGTTTTTTTAAAATTTTAGCTTTGGAACTCGCGGACGACTAAGGTGTTAAAAACGTAAAAAAAAACTTGGCATTTGCAAAATTTGTTTTCACACAGAGAGAACTGACAACCTGAAGTCTGGCAGTCCTTACAGAAATAAAAAACGGAAAATAAATTGATTAAAATTACTTTTTTTGTTCAAACTCGTGTACGCCGGTAACGTCATCTATCGCCAAATAGCCAATACGAATATCAAAGGATCTAGTAACATTTAGAGCGTTCGAGAAGTACAACGCCATCTATTGAAATACGCCATCATAGAAACACATCGAAAATATTCGAGTTCTGAGGAATGTTCTCGATAATTCTAGGGATGTGGTATTGGCTTTAAAAGCGTTGCAGTGAAGTTTCTTATAACTTCTTCTTTAATGAATGTGTGAGCGGTAATTTGTCAATAATCGACCGACTTATAAGTTTTAATAAAATCAAAATTACATATTTAAGCCGAGTTATTGATACCCCTAGTAACCTGCGTTGGTCTATAAGACGGTTCGAGCTTCCCGGAGCTCTCACAACTAAATTAACCGTTGTTTTAATCTTATTTTAAACGTTCTTTCTAACTTTAAACTAAAAACTAATTAATATTTAATACCCGGCTACGGTATTAAAATTTCATGACTATCGTTGAACAAATTGACTGATTTCTTGAAACCAATCGCGCGCTCTCTGTAAAGAAGTGTGTGGTGTTTGCCAAAAACTTTACATTTTCAGAATGTTTGAATACTCAAACAGAAATAAGATAAATATTTATCAAAGAAACAGTGTATTTTAACGTTTCAATTTGGTGGCTAGAACAGCGCAGCTTCGAACACGCTCAAGATTTGAACATTATTTTCAAGGTTGAAGCCACTCGTATTCAGATGAGTAATGATGAAGATGTATCGAGTGATACTGGGACTCAAATTATGAGACAGGTATCGGTTTTTCAAGGAAATGCGGTCTACAAATAAAAATAATATCTTATACCTTTAAACGAGCAATTCTCGTATATTAATATATATATATAATCTGAATCTCAGAAACGGCTCCAACGATTTTCATAAAATTTAGTATACAGGGGATTTCGGGGGCGATAAATCGATCTATCTCCGATTTATTTTCAGAAAATGTTGTTTTATTCGTGTTTTCAATAATTAACTCGTCCCGACATCTATTGGCGAATAATAATACTATACTAACCGCTTTAAAGACACAACAAGATAGCGTTATCAAAAAAAAAAAAAATCGAGCAAAGCTCGGTCATCATCTAGTAATTAAATTAGATGAACAAATCCATAAGTTTGTGTTATTTAATCGATTGTAAGTTATTAACATTGAGCTTGCTACCTGATTACTATTCTCACTATCGCGCTACTACAATACTACTACTGTTACTCTGGAAGTTTGTTACGCAAAAACTCCTGAACGTATTATGATGAATGGCTTTGTAGTAGTTTCAAGACTCTATTTTTCACACAATTAGCCATAAATTTTACATAGTTATAGCAAAACCCGATGGATCTATGGGCGCATATAACTAGTTTGTAAGTCTGAGGTCAAAGCTTGCTCTAAGGGTCGCTTAGGTGGCGGAGCCCAAGGTATACGGGATGGCTAATTTATCCTTGAATGATTGGGCAGCCACTAGCCATGCAAGCAAGACTTAAGCCTCATGTAATAAGGTGACCTTCTCCGTTTTATGGGTACGGGCTTCGAAACCTATTGAACGGAAGGTGGGTCATTAACTAGTTTATCCATATTCAGTTATAGAAAAGTCGGTATCATGTTTTGTGAATGGGATTATCTTATTCCAATGCCATTGAGTCTTCGTTTGCACGTATCAGGCTGAGTCTTGGATATTCCTTTTAATAACAAGTAGGGCCAGCACCGGTCTGGTACAAAAAATAATGATACCTAAGGGAATATATTTAAGGTTGTAACTTACCAAGCCCCGCGTGTCCGAAACAAAAGAGGCATCCGTCGGTACCGTTGATGACTGCGTGAATCACGTCCGTCAGGGCGCTCGAGCATATCTCCGTCTGTCATAAAATAAGGTGGAAATTAAAAACAAATCGTATCATACAGGTTGCACTATTGTACCAGTCAGATGGAGGGAATTATTTTCAGTAAGCCGCGGTTTCGCTCTGCCCCTGGCATTGCTGAAGTCCATGGGCGACGGTAACCACTCACCATCAGGTGGACCGTATGCTCGTCTGCCTACAAGTGTCATAAAAAAATAAAGCTTTTGTGCTACGGTCTGATGTTACTGTAACCAAATAGGAACCAAATGTTAACGCCTCTTTTTCTTGTTAGATCGTTAGACAAGCTCACGGTTAACTGGTGGAGCCAAGGAAAGTCAATGAGTTTTAATCCTCGGTTTTATAGTACAACGGCCCCCTTCAAACCGAAACGCATTACTGCTTTACGGCAGAAACGGGCCGTGTGCGGTGCTTACTTGAGCGAGTTCACAAGACGCCAGACCACCAGTAAAAAGGCCTTCAGGGTTCTTGATATTTGTAGTTATAATTTTAATCGTATCATAGCTGTCCCACCCTTCAATCTGAAATGCATCACTGCTTCAGACCCGCGTAGGTAAAGCGATGCTTCTTATCCGTGATGCCTAAGGTATCGCTTACAACCGGTAAAAATATCAGGGTTGCAATTACTAGAACCGGAAAATATTGACAGTGCCAGTTATTTATACGAACAACACAAGGTCAAGCCTAAATCTGAGAAAATAGCTGAACTATAGATACAATAGACGATATAGGCAATTTTTAGTTGTGTTTTGGTTGATAATATTAACCTATTACAGTCATAACTGCTGTTATATCTTAATAAAAAAAAATGTGTGTGTGTCCAAGTCACACACGGTAGAAGTAAAACTTTAAAAAAATAAAGATAATCGCAAGGGTCAACCACTCGTCGAGCACCGTGGGGGAACCATCTGCATGATAACGGTATCCCTACGCCAGGTAAGTAAGATTTAGCAAGAGAAATATGAGAATGTCTATCAACTTTGTAACATCTCGTCACCGTGATTCAGGAATTGTTGAGTTTATGTGCAGCGATATCTGGTGATAACAAACTAAATAGAAATAAAAGAATCTCAGGGCGCTCCGAGAGCCACGACAGCGTGCACGGACGTCAAAAACACACTGAACTAGTCGGGGACGCGAGACCATGTGGAGCGCTTCGTGATTTGTCGGCTCCACTCGAAGCCGCTTCGGCAAGCAATCGCGGCACACTTATTTTTTCGTTTCGTTTCATTTCGTTTCATCGAGTTTGAAATCACAACGATTCTAAAGAAGTTTCACTTCAAAAATAATCACAGTGATCATTAGAACCATTTGCGGCTTTTAATATTCGAATTTCAATAAATTAGACCTTATTCCTTTAACCATTGATACCGATAATATTATTGTCAGAAAATAAATGATAAGATGAATTTATAAATAAATGAACAAATCTCAACAATCGGGATTCCATTATTGTTCCGGATCTAAACGTTTTCAATTAGAGTTCGAACGGGGCATCATTAAAATTTTCCTCGAAAACAATTATTTCAGTATTTCCGCACTCCATAAACTGCGTATCCCTAAATAATGTGACCACAATTTTCGGCAAGGTTTTAAGTAATATTATGCGTTTCGGCTCAAGATGATCTTTAAGTAAAGAGATCTTTAAGTATGACGGGAAAACGCGTTAGTACTTCTACGAGACTACTCATCTATTTTTTGGCGATTAGAAGTACATTTGTATCAGTCTTTTCTTCGATTGCCATGAAATGTAGGCATAAAAAAACTTCGCACTTTTTTTAATAGAAAATTAGACCATATTAGCAGTATGTTAGTAGCCGTACAATACAGTACAATAGTAGCCGCCAATTTATGTCACCGTCTATTATTTGTTTTATATGCTTACTCTGTACATGTTGTGTCAAATAAAGAGTTATATTATTATTACGTTTTGAAATTTTAAGTGTTTTTAATTAGTGTGTTAAAAACCCCTTATTTATTCAGAAACGTCGTATGCCATCAATAAAAATATATTTGAAAAATCACCCTTAGCTCTATGGAGCTATAAATAACGTAGCAATTTCTTTGGACGATGCTATTATTATACATTTTACTTTTTTTTAAACTTAATCGAACTACTGATTCTAAAATTACTCCCTTCAAAAATTAACGTCGATTCAAAATTACCTAGTCAGTTTTCGTGAGAAAATCCACAAAAGCAACAAACTCATGTTTTCCCTTGCCGCAGTCTAATCTGGGCTCTACAACTTAAGTCCTTTTAATTATCTGCGAGGGTAGGAAAGAAAACACGCCGAGCGCCTTTGTACAGTAAACACGGCTAAGTGCCAGGATTCAGGTAAATTATTCACGGAATTATGGTTACCTTAGTGCTTTCAAAGAGTTTGGAGTTCAATCGATTTTGAATTTTTTTTAAAATACTTCTTTAGCGAATTTCAGTGTGGAGAGTAGTAGCTTAATTATTGATTACGTTTTTGATGACTTCGTTATTTTGTCCCATATGAATGTAATAAATGCCGGGGGAAGAACTAAGCAACTATGTATTTAAATTACAAAAACCGTTTAACCCTTAACACTAATAATTTGCAGGATAGCCGTCGGAGCACCGTGGTACGTAAGAAACGTGGATTAGCAGTAAGTATTTACAGTCGGCATCAGTACGCCATTTCGCGAAAGCGGCACGACACGAGAACCCTCTTATCGTGTTCGCCGGAAACTACATTCCCGATTCTGCAGACCGAGTGGTAAACAGTCAACGTCGCCAAAACACGTCATTTCGGATCCTCCCGATCCACTAACGGTGCTTTTAGGTATCTCAAGCACCGGTCATCGTACTTGTCGATCCCGTCGCTTGCGGCGAAGGGCTCGGGAAGTAACTTAACACTAAGACACTGCCCACTGAGTTTCTCGCCGGATCTTCTCAGTGGGTCATGTTTCAAATCCGGTAGTAGATTCTGTGAGGTAACTGCTCTTGCTAGGGTTAGTGTTAGCAACGTCATCAGGTTCGAGCCCCGAGAGCTCACCTACTTGTTAGGTTACGCTGACATAGCCTCTCTACGCTATCATCAGCTTAGGTAGGATTTTTTTTTATGTTTTCTATTTTTAAACATTTCCACCGTGTAAATTAAGCAGTTATAAAAAATTAAGAGATTAAGCTGTCAAGCGTTTGAGGTCTGATTTTTTCATTTATATATAGTTAAGTTCTAGCACATAATGGAATAAGCGAATTATTTCATTCCTACACAATTACAACTTCGAATTTCTTTTCTTTTTAATCCTACCTAAGCCTTGAGAGGCTATTTCAGTGTAACCTTAAGTAGTAGGTGAGCTCACGGGGCTCAAACCGGAGTGATGCTAACACTGACCCTAGCAAGAACAGTGCTTCGCAGAATCTACCACCGGATCGGAAACGCGACCCACTGAGAAGATCCGCCGAGAAACTCAGTGGGCTGTGTCTATGGGTTAATTCGCTCGTCGAGCCCTTCGTCGCAAGCGACGGGTTCGACGAGGACGGTGACCGGTGCTTGTGGTACCTAAAAGCACCGTTAATGGATCGGGAGGATCTGTAATGACGTGTTTTGGGCGACGACGACTGTTTACCTTTCGGTCCACAGGATCGGGTATGAATTTCTTCATATTGCATCTTGTGTATAAAATCAGTGTCATACTAATAATTAAAAATCGTTTCAGGGTTTTAATATAAATAACTCTGACGTAGACCAAATCTAGTTTGACATCACAAGATTAGATAGTAATAACGTTGTCTGTCTGTGCTCGCAGGTTGACGCGGCTAATGCCTCTTTAATACCCCGGTCCGTGGTGACCGGACGGTAAATTATTATACGGATATTCCTATAGTTGAACTAAAACCGTATAATAAATACTATAAACGGTTCATACATATATTACCTAAATAATTATTAGGAAATTTATTGAAAAAAAAGATGTGTCGTGTCGTGGGACACCGGATAGGAACGAAGTTCCTTATTATAACAATATTAATTTTAAGTTCTATTCGAGGTATATAGAAAATAATTATTCGGGTATACATTTTTTATTATGATTTTTTATTGATAAAAAAAACTACTTTACAAAGTTATCAACTTTATTTTATTCACAATGATTTATAAAAAATATAAAAAAATATGTTATTTTTTGTACGTTATTACAAAGCTAAGTCTTACACTGTGTGCATTACTAATAAAAATATTACGTTACGGACGTTTTTTCCCGGTTAGGGTACCCCTCCGCATCGTCCCTTAATATAAGAAACTTCGTTGCAAAAAAGGAATTCGATACGATTGAAATTATAACGAATATCATGATATAAAAATCATCTGATTTAGGTAGGTAAATGTCGGAAAATCATAATATTATAATAAACAATGAAAAAATTACTAATAGTTAAACTATTCTACACAATGACAAAAAAATGTGTTTATTTTAAAGAGTACAATGGCTGCAATAATATCGTAAACAAAAATTGTAATGTATGCCATAATAATCGTCACGAGTACGTCACGTACGAGTTTTAGCGGTAGGCAGCGGCTTGGCTCTGCCCCTGGCATTGCTGAAGTCCATGGGCGACGGTAACCACTCACCATCAGGTGGGCCGTATGCCCGTCTGCCTACAAAGGCAATAAAAAAAAAAAGAAAAATACGCATAAATATATTATTAATATATTATATTGCTCTCATTGTAAAATATTTAAATTGATGCTCGGAATCAATGACCTCGAGGTAACGCGGGGGGGAATTGATCTTAACTACGAGTTGTGTTTGATTCCATTGCGGGCTCATACTGAGAATCGCCAACTCTATCTTCGTCTTTGCTAAAGTTTTCAATATGCGGTCCATAAAAATTGACAATATAATAAACGCTGATTAGTGTAGCATTTCATTATTCCGAGTCAACAGCAGATTGAGATTAAATGCATAAATCAAGAATGTGATTTGAAAAATGTGGAATGGTTTTAGAAAGGCAAGGACGTACAATATGCACCAGGCCTTAATCCTTAATACCATAAAACATAGAACAAAGTCAAAGTACGTTGAGAATATGCTCAAATTGCGTTGCAGCACATTAATGCTTCGTGGCACTAGATAAAGCGGATTACACTGTATTAATGGGATTGTGTGATGCTCACTACAATACGGCCTATTGTAATTTATGCTTTGCGAAATGTAAATTATGGTTAGATGGCGCTGGAGTACTTCGATTTTGGCACAGATTAGCTAAATTAGAGATAGGCTATTAATAGAGTTGAATATTTTTGTTACCTATGAGTAATTTACGCGAAAAATTAGAAATTTCCTTTAAGAGGTATACAATATTTTTTGGGATTAAATTGATAGAAAGAAATATATACAATGTAATTTATACATTTTTTAAACTCTTTACGGCCCGTAGCAACTCCGTAAAGCTAGATTAATTACTGTTTTAACCTTTACTTTTTTTTTTTAAATGATATTATTAAGTTGAGGATATCACGATTTTTGAGTCGACTTTTGAAAATGGTATTAATTTTGACATACAAGTAATCTACCATTAGTACTTATACGGTTAATAGAAAAATTGGTTAAATGAAGCGATTAAACACATGAATAGTTCATTGCTAGCAATGAATTGTTTTTGACGACTAAAAACCTCTATCACATTTCCAAAATTGAGCTAATATATAATATTATAAAATATTAAAGATCAAGCGCATGGCAACGTAGCGTTAATTTACAAAGAAAGGTTTTGGTTTCTAGTTTATCATATTATTATTTACTAGCGACCCGCCCTCGCTTCGCTTCGGAAACATTAAAACACAAATGAAATAAAAAAATAAAATAAAAAAAATAAAAAAAAGTAGCCTATGTTCATCAGGGACAATGTCGGCTTCTAATGGAAAAAGAATTTTTCAAATCGGTCTAGTAGTTTCGGAGCCTATTCGAAACAAACAAACAAACAAATCTTTCCTCTTTATAATATAGTATAGATATAGATATAGAAAACTAGTTGACCTGCAGATTTCGTAGTGCCTCAATCGATAAATAAAAGACCTAAGCTTTTGTATAAAATAAACTTAAAACAAATAAAACGAATCCGTCCAACGGGGGACACATCAAAGGAAAAACAAAATTGTTATTTTTATTTAATTCCGAGCACTTTCATATTTATCTTTATCTTTTAAACCTTCTCTGGACTTCTACAAATAATTCAAGACCAAAATTAGCCAAATCGGTCCAGCCGTTCTCGAGTTTTAGCGAGACTATCGAACAGCAATTCATTTTTATATATATAGATAGATAGATAGATGAGGCATTCTGCGAATCACAAACATTGCATACATGAACCTCATGAACGTAACGCTAAACTGGAATTTCCACGTAATATCCGTTGGAATATTTCGAAAAACTGCAACGCCGAACGATCTCTTGTTCAAAAATGTGTAAAATTTAAAGTAAAATGAACGACGTTGCACAGACAGAGAGAGGCATTTTAACAATTTAAACATGAATACTCGCCGCGTTGAGACGTTTCGGCGCATGAAACTACGGCAGCGGAAAAGTGCGACAGCCGTTGTTCTAGTTTCGTACAAGTTAAAAGCTGAAGCGATTTAATGATAAGTCGATTGGTTTGATAGAAGACAAACATTGGATGGCTGAAGTAAATGATGCCTTAAAAATGATGTGATCAACAACAGACGAATAGTTTGACAATTATATTTCTACGAATAAAGGGTAATAATATGAAAAACGTACAAAATCTACGTAGGGCTTTAAAAAAGAAATTAATCCATGTCCGAAAAATCAGTGGATATCTTAATTATTTCGTATTATTGACTGTCCTACCAGCCACAGCGGAAAGTAAGTCGATATTGTTGCACAAATCTGCCGAATGCTGAAAATCGCGTTCTTGAAAGGCCTTCGTGGCTCTTTGTAAAATCATCTTCCATTTCGTTCGATTTTCGGCATCATCCAGGAAGTCAAACGCTTAGCGTGGTATGGACATGTGATGCGTAGAGAGAAGATGCATGGGACTAGGAGATGTATGGAAATGGTAGTGCAAGGTAGAGGGGGAAGAGGTCGGCCGAAGAAGACATGGATGGAGTGTGTGAATGACGATATGAGAGAGAGAGAGAGAGAGAGAGAGGAGTGAGTGTTGAGATGAAGGCTGATAGAAGAGAATAGAAAAGAAAAATTAGCTGTGCCGACCCCACCTAGTGGGATAAAGTGGAGAAAAAGAAGAAGAAGAATTCAAAATGTATGTAATAAAAAAATCGCTATTCGCCTCTCATACAGACCTACTATTAAATAGGAAAGTTTTATGTAATAGTAGCCGAGCATTCCCTTGTATTTACCGAAGGACGCCTCTAGGACGACTCTATGCAGCGTTAAGCAACAAACATGACGTTACAGTATTTATTGTACAAGAGATTATTTATATTCAAGTACGCCTATGAGGTTCCAAAGTTTTGGTTAACAGAAAGTTTTCGGGCATTTCGCCAATGATACCCAACAATATTAGATACGAATCCAAATATAATTTTATCAGTCCATACAGTTTAAAATTCTTATAGATGTACTTAAAAATGTACTGTTTATGTTTATTTAAATTATGAAGAAAAATATTTTGAATTCGAACTAATAGAATGCTAGTGATATGAAAAACATTCATACGGCATAATTTAGGGTTTTTTCTTCAATTTCTACTGTATGTAGAGGTTGATTACATATTTATGTATCTATGCTACACAAATTCCTATTGTTAGAATAATTTATACACAGTGAGGACTACATCTTGTGATTGCTTTAAAAAAATTAAAATATTGTTTCATTTCAAGCATTTCAAATTTACCAACTCAGTATATTCTCCTGCTTGTACCGGATATAATAGAAGATGAGAACGACACTACAAATCTATACTAATATTATAAAGCTGAAGAGTTTGTTTGAACACGCTAATCTCAGAAACTACTGGTTCGATATGAAAAATTCTTTCAGTGCTAGATAGCCCGTTTATTGAGAAAGGCTATAGGCTATATAACATCACTCTAAGACCAATACAAGCGGAGCACCAATAAAGAATGTTTCAAAATCATGTATTTTTCCTTTTTAAGAGCTTCTGCTGCGTGCGCTGCAGAAACGGTAAGAGTTTCGCTAATATAATGTATAACAGAATTGTTCCCCTTTAAAAGATCTAAAAAAAGTCCACCACAGCATGTCTATATGTTAAAGTTGACTCACTATAATGGTTTTTATGCTAACCAAATTTATTCTAAAATAAATCATTATTTGTGAACTATTCCACGCGGACGAAGTCGCGGACAAAAGCTAGTATCTTCAATACAGATGATGGACCCCAACGAGGCGAACGAATGTATTGCTTGAAATGCATTACGACATTTCTTGAACGTGACTGTTCTTCTTTAGATATCTCCTTAATCTTGAGCCGCGTTAGATGCTGTATATGAACTAGATAGTCGCACATTAAGCAGCTCAGTAAAGCTCCAGCCATTTGGCAGCCGAACCCACAACATTAATGTTATGCGGTATTGTATTGTGCAATGTGCCTTACGTATGCATTATGCAGCGTGAATGCAGGTCTGCAGTGTATTGGAGATGTTGTATAAAGATATCATAAACAAGGTCTGTTGGAATTCCCGAAAATGAAGACAGGCTACCGTGCTGGATAACGGAATAAATTTAAATTTTCATTACGACCAGTTTCACTCGACCAATTTTTTTTTAAATTTTTTCTTGCGCGAAACTTTTTTGTCTTTATAAAACAATAGTAACTTAAGTTGCTCTTCATATTCATAGCATTAGCAAATTATCTGTTAACGCCCAGTAAAAAAAAAAAGCCACAAAAAAACTGAGATTAACAAATGTTTTTGTTGTTGTTATAAATGCCATTCATATCATATCAAAATACTAGTTTTTTGCAGCAGAAAATGGTGTATATGAGCAAAATATTACATTTTTACATTACAAACAGACACTTCAACTTTACAAATTCGTATTTATAAATTACAAACGTAATTTTTAACTTACATAATGTAACATCAAACCTAACTACCCTCTGTGGCTAATTTATTCTTGTCTTGTTTTCGTAGGATTCTGGCATCCATAGCATCACAGAAAATTCTGGTTTATGGGCCATTAAGTGTTAAATAAGAATAATAATAACTGGGAACGAATCACGCACGGTCATTCGGTCCCAAATTAGGATTTCCTTTCTGATGGGTACCAGAGATTGACCTGTATACGTTTAAATATATACATAGATAGATTATAAACACACAGACAAAGAGCAAATAAACCTGTTCATGAAGATATGTTTACCGACGTGGCAATCGAACCCACAACCTTCAGCGCTACACTGAGGGTAACTATTGCACCAACGAGTCTGACAAAATGATTAACTTCTTTTTCCTTACAATATATACTCAGATAAAGTATTAATTTCTCATCATTAAGTGTGGTTCCAGAGGTCTTTTTTGCCACGTACCATCCGGCTATGGAATGAGCTCCCTTCCACGGTGTTTCCCGAGCGCTATGACATGTCCTTCTTCAAACGAGGCATGTGGAGAGTATTAAGCGGTAGGCAGCGGCTTGGCTCTGCCCCTGGCATTACTGAAGTCCATGGGCGACGGTAACCACTTACCGTTCGGTGGGCCGTGCGCTCGTCTGCCTACAAGGGCAATAAAAAGAAATTACCTGTGGATCGTCTTGCGAGAAAATAGCATCGAAGGCGAACATCTTGGGAGCTGTCACTCCGACTTTTCTGTCTTCAGGAGCTGAAGCAGCCGACGTTGCTTCGCATAGGCTGACTTGTTTCTTCCGCTTGTCCATGGCGAAGGTCTGGTTGCCGCTCGTGAAAGGACCATCTCCGGACGCTCCGACCCGCAGCATCACTTTTACCTGTAACAGGCAACAAAATAGTGTCTAAACATCTATTTCCATTTTCTCATCGTGTATTCCCGCCCGAAGGAGTAGAAGATTCGTTCTATATAGCAGTTAACTTCTATCTTCTTTTTTTTGGAACGAAGTTCTTTATGGTACGATGCGGAGGGGTACCCTAACCGGGAAAAAACGTCCGTAACGTAAGATTTTTATTAGTAATGCACACAGTGTACGACTTAATTTTGTAATAAATAGCGTACAAAAAATAACATATTTTTATTATATATTTTTTACAAATCATTGTGAATAAAATAAGGTTGATAACTTTGTAAAGTAGTATTTTTTATCAATAAAAAAATCATAATAAAAAATGTATACCCGAATAATTATATTCTTTATACTTCGAATAGAACTTAAAATTAATATTTTTATAATAAGGAATTTCATTCCTATCCGGTGTCGCACGACGCATCTTTTTTATTGTTTAGATAGGTGGACAAGCTCACAGCCCACCTGGTGCTAAGTAGTTACTTGAGCCCATAGATATCTACAACGTAAATGCGCCGCCCACCTTGAGATATACTTAAGTTCTAAGATCTCAGTATAGTTACAACGGCTGCCCCACCCTTCAAACCGAAACGCATTACTGCTTCTCGACAGAAATAGGCAGGGCGGTGGTACCTAACCGTGCGGACTCACAAGAGGTCCTACCACGAGTAAAAATCTTATGTTTTAAGGTGGTCAAAATTCACGATGTGGAAACCAGACCCGAAGTCAGAGGTGGTGGAAGCAGACCAAAACAATAGTACACTGGTAACATATGCGATTTATGCATATGAAATACATTTTAAGATTTTCTAATTAGATCATAAACAAACAAAAATTAAAATAAGGAAAGAAACAAACCATACAATAGTTGACACAGAAAACATATGAATTAACCAAAATTAGCCCAAATCCAAAATAAGAGATCAAAGTCTATTATTAAAATTACTTTATTCTCGTAATTTAAAAGGATAAGCCCGCCTATAAAGGTCAGGACGCCTCCATGTAAATTATCGATTTTCACACACCACATACAAAAGCGTTTGTGAAAATTTTGTAACATTATAAATTTTGCGGCGCCCAACCGCCGGCGGACGTGTTAGCTCTCACTAAATATGGAATAAACGATCCGTGACCAAACAACAACTCAAGCCAACCTGCTATTTCGGACACAGTACCGAATTTGGACAAGCAAAGTTTAATTCGGTAATAGAAACTTTATTTTGGCTGTAAAAGGCATGTACGGACTTGAGTTGAGAAATAATTTATTTAAGGATTCACTAAAGAAACTTGTGTGCGCTTAAGAGGCTTACAAAGTTGTAACTTGGTCGGCATAATTGATTCATTTACCGACTCAAAACTCATGATATATTTTTAAAACGTCAAACGTCAAAAAAGGATAAATAAAAAAAATATACTAGTTATCATATTATCGACCGAGAAACGATAAATAATTTAAAAAAAATCGTTTATCTACACTGAACTTGGTGATCCAAGAAATAACAAAAAATTACCATTCAATGAAGCTATAAAAATTACAGTTTTTCTAGATAGAGCCAGTTCCAAGTAGAGAAAACTAGTCTTGTGGGACAGAATTTTATTAGCTGCTAATAAAAAAACAACGTAATTAATTGCTCATTTTTGTCGCAGTTGACATTTTGAGTTCAAAATACAAATGAATGTAACTTAGTTAGTAAGTGTAATATTTTAGATAATGGGAAAACAAATCCGCATCTGAAGTTAATTTTAGAGAAGATGCACTAGAGGATTCTCAAGTGATTTAAAATTTTCTGGTGTAAACAGTAAGATGAATATGAAATAAATTAATTAGTTTATGCTTACTTTATTCTATTACTAATACGGCCCTGTCTCAATGTAAACTCAACCGCCTAACAATGCAACAACCCGTTCCTGCTACATGAACGAACACTGTCAAATAGTTTCCTTAACGTGTGTTGCAAGGAAACTTAACATGTCTGGAAAATGGGCTTTCCAAAGATTTTGATTTGCAAAGGTACGTTTTGAAAATATTCAAATTTGTCAGTTAGCTTTGTTCTGAAGAAGTAATCTGCTATAAGGCGTCTTGAAACAGAGAATCGGACACGCTTTTATTAGCTTCAGACGTATGTATCTTAGTATGTAACGGAATCTTTGAACATGATTTTGACCCCCTTCAAAACGTCGCACCATACCATGATACCATGCACCCCACGCTTTTTTTACAATGAAATAATTTTTTCTTACACTATTTTTATTTCAAATTTATTTTCTATTTTTTAGTTGGATTTTCTATAAAAGCGTAGTTTGTTAGTCTTTTTAAACTATTATTTATTTCTTTAAAATTGTACAGCGAAATCTTCAGAAGTCTGCTGGATGCTTCTTTAGTTCATAACAAATAGACCGCGTTACCTTAACTCTTTTACGAAACCGTCAATAAACTTGAATGATATAGTATAAATCGCTAACATCACAATTGTCTGTATACATAAGCTTACACACGACACGTGAACTTATAGTAGTCGAAGTATAGTATCGCTTAAGTAATTCGCGAAGTGACTTAAGCCGCAAGTTTGAATCTTAATTGTCATTTTAACCAGGTCGTAAACTACCACTGAACTTTAAACTATAGTTTCTATAGGAATTTGAATTAAAATTTAATCAAATTTATGTCTTATTAGTTTGAAAGTTCGACGCCGCTTGCGTTTTACGAGTATAGTCACCGTCGACTTTAAGTTGGAACATGAGTGGCCGCTATTTGTATAGTTTGATAGGTAACTTGTACCAGTATTTAATAATTAGTGAGGCGTTTCTAAGGAGTGAGCAGTTTTCGCGGGAAGAATTCATTCGATTCGATTCGAGAATTTTTAAGCTATCGCATAGCTTTTATCGCGGGCTTTGAGCGCGGCGACCGAATCAAGAAAGTTCGTAACGAAAATAAACCTAACACCCCCACTCCGCCTACCATGTAGCTCGCGTTCAACACATTGACACGTTGCGCTTGTGTAGTGTTTGTGAATAGGTGCGCGGCGTGACGTCTCACTGCATGCGCATCATGAAAAGTCTGCCCATCTCTCTCTCACGCGGTCTAGCTCGTGTGAAGGGGACAGTTAATGTTTTGCTTTTATTAATGTTTATAAATATAGCGTATTTTTTTTTTTATTGTCTTAATATGAAATTATTTTTGTCTAATTATAATTGCATAAGTTGATAAAAAATGCTATGCAATAGCTTTAGCGCAGCAGTCCCCGAGTGCTACACGTGTTTTTTTAATTAAAAGAACACTTATTGCGGCATAACTATAATAGTTAGACATATGCTGTCGCGACACTTTTTGTAAATAATAATGTGTTCTACAAAGTTGTAGTACATTATTTTATTCTATTATGAATAGTTTTCGCAGGGCACGCGATTTAAAGAATATTTTAAGTAATTTTTTTACACTTTGGGTTACATTATTGGAGTTTTAGTAAGGATCCCTAATTTTTTTCAAAAAACATTATAACCTATGTCACTCGAGAATAGTGTAGCTTCCAAACAGTGAAAGAATTTTTCAAATCGGTTTCGTAGTTTCGGAGCCTATTCAATACAAACAAACAAACAAATCGTTCCTCTTTATAATATATAGATGATATTGTACCATTCAAATTGATGACTAATTCACCATAGAAATAGGCAGAGCACTGGAACCTGCTTAATTAAAATCATTATCGTGGAAATATTAAATGAGTCATTCGGCACGTATTTCCTAAGAAAAATCTTACTTAGTAATTGTATTTCCGATTGGATTGCACCGACACGTCATTGTTTAGGTCAATGATGCTTTGAAAGTTGATGATAGTATTTAAATACACCAGTATTAGAATTGTGAGTCGTTTTATGAATTACATACGTCTATAAAAATAAAAATCAATTTGCATAGAACGCCTAACGGATCATTACTTGGGTACGGCTCGACTAATTCGACAGATTTATTTTCCGTTGTGTTCCTATATTATTTTTATTGCTTATATGGGCGGACGAGATCACAGCCCGCCTGATGTTAAGTGGTTACTGGAGCCCGTAGGCATCTACAACGTAAATGCGCCACCCATCTTGAGATATAAGTTCTAAGGTCACAGTATAGTTACAACGGCTGCCCCACCCTTCAAACGGATACGCATTACTGCTTCACGGCAGGTATAGGCAGGGTGGTGGTACCTACCCGTGCGGACTCACACGAGGTCCTACCCCCAGTAAAAATTGTCAGGATAAGGTTAGAAATAAGTAGAGTATAAAAGATTTTATTTGGAAAATCCAGCACTAGCTAGAAATTAGAACAGTAATTTATATGAATATAATTTATGATGTTAAATTACGTCATCGTTTTCAAAATGTAAAACTAAACCGATTTTTGATGACGTTTTTTGTTTCTGGATAATTTTAATTTACCGGACTTAATCTGACCCGAGAGGTGAAGCTGCGATAAGATTTATTTTTAAGTATAAACAAATAAACAGTTCTATTAATTTCTTTAATAAGCGCCAACAGTATAAACCTGTGAAATAGTACTTTTAATAACGTCATCAAAGCATGAATGAAAGCAAGTGTTAAATTAAATATGTTATAATTACTAAAGAAAACTTCTATTAGAATTGCAAACAGTAAACGAGGCACGCTTAACACACTTCAGTGGATCACGATTCGTGTAATTAGTTCAGAATTAATTACATCCGCGATGTGTACCCGACTCAACTTATGATATTACTCCTTTAAGGCAATATTATTATGGTTCTGGTGAAATAGTTGAATTGCTTAGCGTATTAGATGATATTCAACGACTCGTTATTTATCCTATTTGATCTGGTATTTTTTGTTTTTGAGGAGCTAGGCTGGTGGTGGTGGTTGAGCCTTAGAATCTTTGGATTATAATATCAAATTTACATATAAGGACTGTAGCATGTTGTGATAAAAATAATGGCAGTTCACTTTAACCC